GCGACTGAGAAGCATCCTCTCGAGTGCAAGGGGTTAATATACATACATTGATGGATGTATGTACATATGTGTGCATCAATATATTCGGTATAAAATAATGAAAAATTTGGAATCATATAGCGATAGTTAAAATGCGGTAGGATTAATCAAAATTGACATAAACTAGTTCCGGAAACCACGGGAATCAGCTCGATTCATCCCCCAACAATGGGATCTGGAAATGCACAAGTACGGGGTTATGGGATTTCGAACTCAATGACTCTGCAACTTTGGGATCCAATTCAACTCACTTTCGGACCGTGGTGAACTTCGAGCTCTGAAGCTCTGAAATAAAGTCATGGAACCTGGAACTTCAGAAGTACAGAGACGTGGACTATGCCCCACTTGGAAACTTCATTATTTCGAAATCCTGAAACCCAGAACTGGTCACCTTTAGGTCATGGCATTTGATCAAGCTTGTTTTTCGAAGTGATCAAACTCCATGAACTCGTAACACGTAACAGTCCCCCATTCTAGGAACTCGATTTCATCTATGAGAAATAGGATATAAATAGAAAGGACGAGAGTTATAGTGATCTCATTAACTAAGTCCTGTCATTGAATTGAGCTAACACACTGACTGTGTCTGAGCTTGAAATAGTGAAATAAAAGACGTATCATAATAGCCTGTCATAGCAAAACCTAATACACCTTATCTTTAGGCCATAGAGTCTCAAACTCTGTGAATCCTGAGATTCTAAACTCGTTTAGGTCATTTCTCAGATTTAAATCTCGAATTATATGAATCTTCTGACACATGATCTGCGTTAGGACCCAAAATTCGAAGTCTACGTTTCAAACTTTAGGCTTGAGGTCTAAGATCCCAAGTTCCAAGTGTCAAAGTCAGAATGAGGCATATTATTGGCTTAGAGTCTAAGGCCATAGTAGCCTGTCATAGTGAAACTCAATGCACCTTATATTTAGGCCATAGAGTCCCAAACTCTGTGAATCCTGAGATTCTAAACTCGTTTAGGTCATTTCTCAGCTTTAAACCTCGAATTCCATAAATCTTCTGACACATGATCTGCGTCAGGACCCCAAATTCGAAGTCTACGTTTCAAACTTTAGACTCCAGATCTAGGATCCTAAATTCCAAGTGTCAAACGTCAGAATTAGGCAAATTCTTGGCTTAGAGTCTAAGGTCATGGGTCTAAAGTAGATCCCATGTAATTGGAATTACTTGGTTCAGGCTTCTAAGATCTAGAGATGTCCCCTGACAGATACCAAAGTACCAGGATTGTGGAGTTCAGGGTTCCACGACCCTAAGGTAGCATAGGTCAGGTTTCACAGGTGCAAGCTCATGAATTTTGAGATATCATGGTGCAGAAATGCTCCGAACAAGGCTCCACAATTCTAGGTTATGGAGATCGGGCTCCCACAATGCCAGATTGTACATTTGAATCATAGAAAGGTCAACGTTAATGAGCTAGATCCTAACACTAGCAATTAAGGCTCTCAATCAGGGTCTGAATTGAAATCTTGCCTAATTCATCGAATCTGAACATTCCGAGACTTAAAATCGACCAAACCACAAATAAACTATTCCCACGATCTTCTCAGTCCATGCAAATTTTTCCCAATTTTCCATTTAATAATTAACGAGAATAATATAATAACAATGACACACTGAATTCAAATCTATCCCCAAAAATTTTCGATTTGAGAATGGAAGTAACGAAGACGAAGCAAATATTTTGCTGTCAGTTCTGTCAATTGACACATTGTAGTCTCGAACACCATCGATCTTTCGACTTCTTTATAATTACAGCGGAGCCATAGCAATTAACGGTGTAACTCTCGAATTACGATCCTCCAGCCCGAATCCAATTAACCAGTGCAAACAGCGCGAATATGTGTTTTCCGCTCTCGAACCTAATCGCTCGTGCCCGTAAAACAGACCGTGTCCGTTCGAAGTCATTCTGAAATGTCCCCTCTGGGAAGCTCTTGCCGTTTAATCGACTCGCAGCAGTCACGAAGCATCCGGACTATCGAGATTCATTCGATCTCGTGGAACGACGATGGGGCACGCATTGAATTCGTCGCTGTGTTTGTCCTTACCTGACCGTCCGAGCAATGAGAATCTTGACGGTAATACTAAGTAGCTGCACGTTTCGAATATACAACGTGTCGAGAAAGTACCTGATTCACTTTCAGCTAATGAAAATTCCTTCTTCGTTGGACAATAAATATATTTTCAGCAATTTTTAATATTAAATTGTTCCAATACTGAGTGCAGTATTGAATAGTAATGGCAATTTTAATATAGTTACATAGGGTGGGCTAAAAGTATGTACAATAATTATATTACGTATAAGGTACCAGTTCAGTAAATTTGTAAATAATAATTTTAAGAAAAATTCGGTTTATAATGAAGATAGTAAATTTAATAATAATTGTATACTCGGTTCTTTCTATCACTTGTATTTTGTTGAAATATGAAAATTATTTCTTATCTCTTAGGCAGAAAAATTTATTATTATTCTCAGAAATGATAACAGTAAATTTAATAAAAATTTTATACTCGGTTCTTTCTATCACTTGTATTATGGTGAAATTTGAAAATTATTTTCTATCTCTTAGGGAGAAAAATTTATTATTATTCCCAAAAATTCAGTGATATTTATTAGATTAGCCACCAAACATTTTGTTACGCCAATTATTATTAAATAAAATATTTACTGCAATTGTAAGAGAAACAGGAATCTTAATTTAACCTTAGATACCTTCAATCTTCTGTCTCTATAATTTTATCCCACACACTCGCATCATTTCACAGATCATTTCAAAGACAACATTCAAATTCAGAATTAAGAAACACAAAGAATCACTGAACTCGTTTCTCATAAGCGTCGCGAGACCGATATTAACCTCAAGACAATTCTATCGGGGTTAACGCGACCCAAAGACCCCATTGTATCACTCCATTGTTACACAACGAAGCTACCGGTGGAAAAATAAATATGTCGGTGTTAACAATTAAGGGAGCACGGGTGCTGGTGCAATTCACGGTGTTGGCGCGCGTAGCCGGACAAAAGCGGCGCGTAATCTTCGTTCAACAGGGCCGCATATTACGCGAAAGTGGGCCACCGTCGTCCCCTTAAGCCCGACTCACGCCAGCGTGTTTCGCCGGGGCACGAGCTGCCCCTTTCCCCCCACTCCCAATTATGCCGCGTTATGGCGCGATTACGGAGACAGAGGCGACATCGTTTCTGCACTGGTCCGCAACGGTTCCAGTCGCCCTGCGCCTTGTTACCACGCCCGAAGTACGTGGTAATTGAATCGAGGATACACCGACGATTATGGCTCGCGCGCTGTAAATTTCGATCATTGTTCCCCTGCTAGTTCTTAGGAAATTTTGAAATTGAATCTTTAGATAATTTTCTTTATTTTTTGTATGAGGGACTGGATCTGATTAGTGGATTGCAGTGTGATGCAATTGCATACAATTGTGACTGTAATTAGTACAATATTTTCATAAAGACGCACTTCCAAGAATCAAATTTTGGAATTTTATTGGTAGGGTTCAGATACGTTTCTATATAGGGTGTCTCGATAATTGTGAGGAAATAGGTGTGACTGTAGAATAGATATTCATTTTTATAAATAAAATTTCCCTTTTTAACCTTTTAATAAATAATAAAATAATAAAATACCTTTTTATAGATAAATTACCTTTTATAAATAATAATAAAATACTACAATTCTTGGAACACTTTGTTCATAATTAATAAGAATATAATATAAATTTTGGTGCAAAAGTGAATAAGAAGTAGAAGGTAAAATTAAACCCAAATTCTACTAGATCCAACCAATAACAGAATTTTGAAAAATAATTTTTATCCATAAATCTATAATTAAATTTCGCTGTTTTAAAAATGAACGAGTTATCTATTTTCGAATCGTACTGTACAGGTGTTAAAAATGATACCATGTACCCAAGAAACCTCAAGAGCCATTAAGCAGAGCTGCCAAGGAAGAGGAGCTTCTGCATTACCAAGAAAACAATAAAGTAATCAAAAATTCTTTATTGACCAAGCTCGGCCAATTAAGTCGATGATCTGCAAAACAAACTTTCCACCATCTCTTAGTATCAATTACAACGAAACAGCGTCCATTCTTCCTATCATAGATAGTTAGACCTGGACCAACAGTTTCTTATCTTCGTTAAAAGTTTCGAATTCGCTGGCTGCGCGAAAACTCGCGCGGTTTTTCGCCATCCCAACGCGACGCTTGTCCACGCTGACTCCAGGGAACGGGTGAAACCGTCATAAAGTTTTACCACTGGCGAGTTGAAGCGGTTGGATGCGTTCCTCTAGCGCTAGGTAGCCCTATTCCGCAGCGGTGAATTTTTCAGGACGCTTAGAAACGCGGCTTAAAATAGACACCCCTGGCTGAAGCGTTGTTTTCGACTGTACAGTCTGCTAGGGAAATGGGATTGAATAATGTTCCTAGTAACTAGGACTTGCTTGCAATCGGAATCTTATTCTTCAGCTAGAGAAGTGGACGCCTACGTGGATTAATGGAGATCTGGATTAACGGATCTTTTAATTACCGTTGACTGGCATATAGTACACGATATGCGTGACTTAGATGGATAGGTGACTGTGCAGGGCTTCGACGACATCGCTACCAGAGGTCTCTGAGAATTCACGAACCCTTCTAGATTAGGCGATACATCTCCTTATTTAAATTTTGAAAAGACTATGACTAAAAGCAGATGGAGAATAAAATAGGATTTTTGTTCATTTTTAACTTCTGTTTTAGGTAGATTAGGATCATGTATCAGCTTGGGTCTAGGATATTTTTGGGGAACCTAGGTATAGATTGTGATTGTCGAAAATGTCACTAGACACCTTTTTGATTAGGTGATACATCTTCTGATTTAAATTTTGAAAAGACTATGACTAAAAGCAGATGGAGAATAAAATAGGATTTTTGTTAATTTTTTACTTCTGTTTTAGGTAGATTAGGATCATATATCAGCTTGGGTCTAGGACATGTTTGGGGATCCTAAGTATATTAGGAAAAATCAATATAATTTACGATATTATGTATCATTATATATTATATATATACCGAGTGTATTGATTCGTTTCACTGGGTTAGATTTCATCCTCTAGCTAGGAAATCCTTCTGATCTGTCGAAAATGTCACTAAGCAATTATCGTAATGCTTGAGCCATAGCTCTCCGAGTACCCAGAGTACTCCACCTGTACCCCAAAATCTAGCGAATCTACTTTCCAGCTCTCGAATCCTAGGGAGTGACAAATTGGGTTAAATTCCACTGTCGTCTTTTAATCAGCCCATTCAGGTAAGTCAATGATAGCCTTGGAAGTCTCTCGGTATCTTCACATGAAAACCGTTCTTCAATCTTTTCTTACCAATGTAGGATAAAGTCAATCTCTCTAAATAGACCTACAATGATACTGAATAACAAAGAATATTAATTAACGATTTTCCAATACTCTTCACACTTTCTGAAGAATAACAATCTTCACTCTACCTCAGACTGTTCTAGCCATAAGAAAATCCATCTTTTACTTTAAATCCATTTTTTGGCTTTCTGCAGTCATCCACAGAAATAGACACTCACTGTCAGTGATCAGTAAAAATTAACACTAAATCTACCATGGTCAAATAACCGGAGACTGGAAAAGAAGCGGAAGCTTTAAGAAATGGAAAAACAGGAGACATTGAGAAAATGATTGTACGAATATTGGAAGAAAAATAGTGAAGACGAGTGATTCGAAGTGAAAACCTTGAACTCGGAATTTTGAATGAAAGTTTGGAAAATGGTGATTTAGATAATGGTAAGTTTAGTGTTAAACAAAACTGAAAGAATATTTTTACTTTACTAATATCTTTTGCACGCCCTGAAGATCCTTAATTCTCTTCTGGTATAATCACTTAGGTCCTCAAACTTCAAGGCAGATAATTCTTCATCTCTTTTCATCAATATCATCAGACACTGACCAACGATCCATCCAAATACATTTATAGTGCCACTAAACTTGTATCAAATCTGTGCTGGAGTACCAAGACTGAGTGGGTGATCCATCAGCACCTTTTCCTTCCACTGAAGACCAACAATTCTTTCCTAATACGATGAGTCATGATCCTTCAGCCATAAGGATTCTTCAATCGTAAATAGACACGTAATAACATCGAACAAAATGAATTTTCTTGGACCTAATTAACCCTCTGCACTCGGCGATCTTTTCGTTATAGAAACATAGTAATTCGAAAACTCTCTGCCATATAGTCGACGATATTTTCAAAATGGTAAATAATAAATGCAAATTAACAATAAGACGTAGAATTATTTTACCTCGATATTCAACGTGTCGTTGGGCATTTTAAATTCGAGATATTAATGAATAACCATCTTTAGAATCTGATTAAATGTTGATTGAGGGTCGCCTCTCGAGTACAAAGGGTTGATCTCTGCGTGAATTTCAAAATTGAAATATCTCTCAAACTCTGAAGACCCACAGCTCCTCTTCTATTCAACCCGTTAAATTTCCCCCTGGTTCCTCGCTTTATTCGCTTTACTCGCTCCATTTTGCCACATAATCGGACGGTATAGCGGTATTTCCATCAGTCAGCCAGGAGCAGAGTGACGAATCAAGCGTATTCGCGGCTATAACGGGGATTCGATATTTCCCGAACCGTATGAATTCGTCGGCGTGTTCGATAGGCCGACAAGTAATTGCGTGTGTACACTTAAATCGGCCGCGGGGTTGAAGCTTCCTGCATCTTGATAGACGAGCGCATCGATCGTACGAAAGCGGAGAAGCCGGTGAGCATCGACCAACCAACCTAAATCCGGCTGACTGCGCCCGAGCACGCGAACCCTTCAGCTTTCGCCTCTCGGACGCGACCGCTTTCTCGTTCTGGAGCTTTGCTTTATCTAAACTGTGCTCGAACATCATCCTGTCGAAACTGATTCGCTATCTTTCGCGGGAAACGAGGATTTTAGGCGAGAAGTTTGGCTCCGTGAACATCGGATTCGCTACTCTTTGCTCCGAGCGCGAGTCCTCTTCGTGGATAATGAGATCGGTTGCTGTGACGGTGGATTAGATCGCGTGGAAGGCTGTGATGGTGAAAGAGGGTGGTACGATGGTTCGAAAGAAGGTGTAATGGAGTTTTGATTGCTCGTGGAGGAATTGTTTTAGATGGTAGTCGCTAGAGGCTGGATTATTAGAGGTATTCGACTTGGGTTCTGATTGACTTAGTGCAAACTAGGTGTATTGGGTTGATGGAAAAATTCGTAGAAAATTTTGGGGTAGTTTATAAGTAATATGTTTTCATGGCGGATAGATAGATATGATATATTCATTTTAGGAATATTGGGGTCTCTTTGGAATCTTTGTGATTTCTGGAAGTATTTGGATTATAAAATATTCACACGAAACTTCTTGGAGGATCTAAAAGTATTGGGTTGCTGGAAAAACTGATAGAAAATTTCAAAATAATATATTTTCATACAGTGTCTAGATAGATATATTCGTTTTAGGGTTGAAGGAGGTCTCTTTGGTATCATTGTGGTTTCCAAAAGTATTTGGGTTATAAAATATTCACATAAAACATTTTGGAGGATCCAGAAGTATTGGGTTGATGGAAAAGTTGGTGGAAAATTTCAGAATAATTTAAAAATAATATATTTTCATACGGTGGATAGATAAGTATATACATTTTAGGGTTGAAGGAGGTCTCTTTGGAATCTTTGTGGCTTCTGGAAATATTTTGGTGATAAAATATTCGCATAAAACATTTTGGAATATCTAAAAGTATTGGGTTGATGGAAAAATTAGTGGAAAATTTCAGAATAATTTAAAAATAATATATTTTCATGTGGTGGATAGATAAGTATATACATTTTATGGTTGAAAGAGGTCCCTTTAAAATCTTTGTAGCCTCTAGAGGTATTTGAGTGATGGAATACTCATATAAAACGTCTCATAGGATCTGGAGGCAATATATCTTCACAGGATGGGTAAATAAGCGTGTTTATTTTGAAGCCTGGGGTTTATTAAAACTCACGGAGACTTCTGCAAATGTTGATTTCATGGAAATACTCCTACGGAATTATGAAAGTGTATTCAGAGCTGCTGCAGTCTAGGTATTCTTTTGATGGTATTGAGATAATTAGAGTGTTCGTGAGCAATAGAATATATATCAGTCTTTCTTTCACTGACTTTGTTCATTCTCTTCGGTAATGAACTCCATTAAGTAGCTTTTAGAAGTCTCTAACCTATTCAATTTCTTTCCTGAATACCTTTTCTGAGGAACACAATGAATGACTGCAATGAATGCACCATACCCTATTTAATCAATAGAACAGGTATATCTTTGGACTCCAACAGAAGTCCAAATTTCTTAGACTCAATTTTATTGCATCAAAGAATAAATCCTTCCTCATTAAACAACTCTGAATAATTCTCTTTAATTTTCCTTAATTTTGTTTCAATCTCTGGTATCTAACTGGAAGCATTATTTTCTTCGCTCTTAATATTTTATTTTATACCAAAAATTACCTTAGCTACTTAATTCCAGCAGTTCCCTTGCAATCCTACCAAATCCAGGACAGAGTCCATTGACTATCAAATGAGGTCTACGAACACGTCTAACAACCCAATACCGCATTCCTGTTCTTTCCTGTTCCTAAGACAACGTTACATAAGCCAATCACAGTGTTCTGATACAATTTTGGAAATTCGCTGAACTATTAATCGAAATCGGCAGTGTTTCGTGCACATAGTTTGCGTTCACCTTGTGTGCCTTTGTGCAATGTAAAATTAAGTGAAACACGACTGTGACACGGTCAGCAAATCGTTGACCGAATTCAGAAGCTATGAATTAGAAATTTACCAAAGGCCATTGTGTTTGTACATGTGTGTATGTCAATTCCATGTGTGGGTACCTTCACGACAACAGTTTATGGTAAAGGCAATGAGTTTGTGCAAGTCACGAGGGTCGTGGAAATTCGTTGAAAATTTCGAATTAAATTGGAAAATAAAATTTCACGAAAATAACTAATAACGTCGAGAGATGTATAAATGTGAAGGTGGAGGACGAGAGGTTTTTAGTGAAAAGAGCACTACGTTTTCTTAGCAGGACTTTATTATGTGCGGGGGGCCAGATGCGGAAAACTGAAGGCTAGCTTTTCGGGTAAGACCCGTATCATTGGAGAGTCATAAACGAACTGACTCTTTTTCGCTACTCGTTAGACGCCGAGGTGGTCCGTGAGTCATGGGGCCCTGGTCGTAAAGACATAAACGAGGCCCCCATTGACCCGGAACCCTCGATGTCTCGAAGGAGTCGAAAATATTTACAAGGAACCTTCGTTTTCCACATGTGGGATATGTCCCACGTAAACGCGTTGCTATGTCCGAGAAACTCATGTATACACTCAAATATCCCGTTGCGGCCTTAGGGCCCTCACGTCCTAAGTTAAATGGTGGACTGTTTTATGTCCTTACTTTCAGCGTCGTTATGAACGAAAATCGCGTTTAACACGTTAAGTAGCCAGCCCGTTTTGCTTGCCGTTCCATTCAGGCCCAAACTCGACTGTCAAATGGGCCTGCCACGACGGGCAAAGTGTTTGTAAAACTTGGAGATGCTGTACCAATTTTGATGACAAGAATTCCTAAACGTTAGGTCCAAAGATGGCGAAGAATTTAACACCAAAAGCTAGTACCTTTTGGTCCCAGTTCTGGGCCAGTCTCTGAGGACGGGTTGGGCCCGAACGGAAAGCCTAGCGCCGTTCCCTGGGGACCAAGTGACACTTAACGTGTTAAACTTCAACCCCTATGAAATCTCCATTTCAAACAGAACCTTTCGAATTTAAAATAGTTTGAAAACTATAATTCGAACATTTTTCCCCATTTAATTAACAGGAAATAATTCCAAGTTGACTTCATCTTGCGAGAAATATCGAATGACACGCGAAACGATGACAGTGAGAATTTCAAGAGACAGGATTCTCGAGCAAATTGCGCTACCAGATAGGGT